TATCCAGGGGCATAGTGGTGAGCTGCCTTTCTGATCCGTTCTGCAGCTACTAGTGTCTCTCCTTGTATTTTTCGTTCTGTCTATTTTTATTTCACACAATATTTGAGGTTTTGTATAATCTACTAGATGCTCATACACTTGTGACACTAGGTCTTGGCACACACATTGGTAGAATTTGNAATATCATGTCAAAGGAAACTCTTACATCACATTCTTCAAGAGAATATCCTATTGACAGTTTATGGTAATTCTAACCATTAGGAATTATCCAATGAATCGGTTCAATGATTATATCTCTATATGCATCATCTATTTATATTATTTAGTTAATGAGATCAACTAATCTTTATCCCATAAAGACGATCACATAAATATTGATCTAACCAGATTACTAATGTCTAAATTAATAATCCTACGATCAAGAATAAAATTTAGATTATATTGTAAGAGACTTTGCTCTCATTATCATGATCTCCATCATGATGACAAGTCTCAAAATTTAATCAAGGACCTTATTAAATTAATCAAGTAATTAATAATAAATATGATAAACAAATATCAAATGCCATATATTTTTATATCAAATAACATTCACAAAATATGTTCAAATCATCAAATATGAGATTGGATCTAGGGCATATAAGTTAGAATTTAAATAATTCAATTTTATGACTTTAATGCTATAAACTAAAAAGTTAAATGAATATTCGTGAAATTAGCCGTTTTATTTAGGTTAAAAAATAACCGAATTACCTGAATAATATCACCAATGTTAACAACTAGTTTGTCTTTGGAAGGTGCTATTGGGATCCACTGCCCATCTTTGTGCACTTGAAGACCTCCGACTTCATCCTGGTAGACAAAAGTAATGCAGTTGCCATCTTCATGTGCAGATTTTCCATTGTCTTCAGCTTCTGTTGCTGGGAAATAGTGGAGACCAATCAAAAAGTCCCATGATCGATCATTGTTGAATATTGCGAGTGTGTTAGGAGGGAGGCCCAAACACTCACTTATGATGCTCTCCAACAGCATTCCTAATTTGGTGAAGTGCGAAATCATCTCATCCAAAACTTGTCTAAGAATATGAAAAATACTTTGCTAAGAAGTAAGAATACTGCAACAATAACAATTACACCCTAATTCCTAGCAAGTTGGGATAATTATTTTTTATTCTTACTGGAAGCACCATAACATAGTTTGGCGAAATGAGAAAACATCTCCAAAACATGTCTACGGATATAAAAAGTATATTTCACAAAGAGGAAATAATGCGCCTTAAAAGCTTAACTATGATGATAGCGCAAATTAATTTTTAATTAACTTTGGAATCACCATATCGGAGGTATTTGGGGCTTTGCTCTGGTTTTCCTTTGATTCAATTTAGACTAATTTTTATATAAGGTCACTGAATTTTACCTATTGGATCAGTAAAGTCAAAAAAAATTACTTTTGTTCATATTAAAATAATTGAGCTTTATCCACTATAAGAATAAAGTAATAAAACTATTAATTTTTTTAACATTAAAACATCTTAACTAGTGTGAATCGTTCATTCGGAAGTGTATAAGTTGGACAAATGAGGAAGGGAATATAAAGACATACTTGAAATGAGGTAGATTGTTGGGATAGACATTGATGCCAGAGGATGGAGGAAGAAACACGAAGTGTTCATTCTTCTCCGCTGAATTTTGTGGGCTTTTCAAATAACCAGCTGGTATTGATGAACCGGGTTTTGGAGAGACCAATAATTTATCTTCATCTGAACAAGCAAAGAAAGTCTTGTACAAATCCATAGTTTTGCTCAGCAACCCCAAAGGAATTCCATGATTCTCAATCTGGAAGAAGCCATAGTTAACACAGGCTTCCCTTATTCGCTCGATAACCTTCCTTTTCCCATCTTCATCTTCCTCTGATTTCAAAAATGGAGAAACATCAATCGTTGGAATATCAAAACTAGCCATGATGTTTTCCTTCTCTTGACTCTCACCGTTGTTTTAAACCTCTTTAAAAAAGATTATTTTATTTTAAAGAGGTTGTTTGAAAAAAAATTGAGCAATTTCTTTGTTATTTCTAAGACAACTTGCAACAACTCCTGTTACCATATATCAGTTGTTTATTTCCATCAACCCTACATATTACTATAATATACATGGTGTTTGTCTACTAAAGGCAACTTGCAATAGTAAACTACTTACCTATATTTGTTTTTTTCTGCCAATCCTGCTATCGTATAGATTCCCCATGGCAATAACGACCAAACGTAGTTAAAGTTTTGGACAGCTAGAATATTTAGTTTCTTTTCCTTTTTCGGCTCTAATTATAGAAAATATCCAATCACGAGTGTATATCATATTGTAGCCTAACAAAGGCCCATGACTACCACTTTTAATCTCTCTGGCTTGGTAGCTGGTAGAAGTACGATAACATTTGCACTCGATCGTAACGTTATCAGGAGTAACTGCACACGATGAAAATCTTAGGATTTTGTAGCGGATTAGCTCAGAAAAGGTATATTATATGCTCTATTTTCTTCCCCTGTTTTCCTATAATGAGGTGAAATGACCATTTTAAACCAACATGATCGCATAGAGGGACACAGTTATAATTTATCATTTAGCCAACTCGTGAGTAATTAACGCTGATACTATATAGAGGATATTCTAAACCTTATTTGTTTACTTATATATGGCGTCATCACATGCCCACGATTATCCGATTACAAGCATCCGCTTAATGGATTAAAACGAGAAATTAGAAGAACTAGTACGACAGTAGTTGCTTATTCTACATAGAGTTAAACAGGAGTCCGTCCGCAAAAGACCTCTGGTCGCCGCAGTCAAGGTTCTCACCAGGGCTAACATCTAGAATTTGGCAGTACCTTAAGTAAAAGCCAATTCGACTTTGTACCCTCTTGTCAGGGCCATGACCACATTCCAATCCTCCGTTTATGATGTTTGTGATGACCCCATAACCAGGGAGCCTATTGGCTGCTATGTCGGATGGGGTTGGCTCCCATATCCCGAGAATAATGTCATGACTCGAAGGCTTTGGTGGTTGAGGAGTCATCCAGAACCAAAGTGCAGTTTTGAATGAGATTACTGTGTCTGCAGCCACCAAATCAGGATCACCTAGGAGGTTTTCTCCTATGGCGACTCCACAAGGTCCATAATTGTAGTTGCTAAAATAGGGTAAAAAGGAATTATAAGCAAAGTTGTAGTATAACCTTATATATTACTATCAAGATTTGAATTCTCTTTCATGTATTCAGAAAAAGAGATTTGTGATCTTTATCTTTAAAGCATAGGACAAGTAAATTCATAAAACACATGCACTCACTTTGTTTAATTTTAATTTTATATGTCGTATTTTGAGTAGGTACGAAATTTAAGAAATAAAGAAACAATTAAAATTTTGATCATAATATATCATTATATTTGTGTGGCTAATAAGAAAATAGTGCTGCTCTTTGAACCGAATGAGTTTTGCTTAATGTGCAAATTAAAAAGAGAAGGGAACATACTATGAAATTTGGATGGGGCCTCGTCCATAATATTTCTTGCCAGGAGCGCAGGGCCAGTCAACGTTTGATTCGCAATAGGAAGGCATGTCATCAGGATTGCCTACTTCGCTTTTGAAACAGTAACCCCATGCATAAGGGCCATCAGGTGCAGTGTCCCAACCACCTGTCCAAGTATATATCTTGTAACTTAGGAATTTAACACAAGTACTAGTTGGCTTGAAAAAAAAATTAAACAAAAGGGACATAGACCATTTTAATCAGGAATATATTTGACCAAATTATAGGGATCGTAAGGTTGTGTAGCTTAAAGAGACTGAATGAGAAATGGAGGAAAAATAAAATATTTGAGTTTCTTTCCTTGGCAAAGGGACATTGTCCCATATTAGAGGAAGAAAAGGCTTTTGATGGGTATATATATAATTGCTCTTCTTCTAACTCTTAAAGAGTTAAGAAGAAGGAAAGTCTCGCGCCGTCGCTTGGCTTCGGATTGATTAATTAATCTTTTTGGACAAAATTAGGCACGTTTTCTTTCCCGGATTATTTTAAATCTATTTTCTCGCAATATTTCAAACAACTTGTTCCAACAGCCATGGCTGTTTCTGAAAGGTCTTCTTCTTCTTCTGCACAAAAATTCTAGTGTGTTTTACGGCCTTCGAGTGGCTCGCTGTTCACCGGCGTTTTGGTATCAATACTCTAGTGAGTTAAATCGTTCTATCCTGGGAGGATATATTCTAGCACCTCGGGTACTTGAGGGGAATAATTTCCTTAAGGACACATTGTGTATTCAGTGGCTCGATTTATTCCTATACTGTTTTTCCAAAATTTATTTCGTTAAGCAAGTATTACCCACTTTCTGTTTTGTTTATATTTCAAAAAATTTAATGGTTTAATTATTTATTACAGCAATAAAGATTTATAACACAAATTAATTAAGCTGAGTATACGTGCACGTAGCTGGAATAATATAAGCACGTAATTAAATAGCTAAAGATTACCAGTAGTTTCATGCGATGTTTGAGCCAAGAACGCAGCAACCTCTCTTTTACGGTCAGTAATATCGCCAGTGGTGCCAAAACCAATGAAATTCCTGGCAGCTTGTACAAAGGCATCGTAGGTATAGAAGCCCCTAGCAGGACAAGCAACATTATTCCGATGTAAAAGCAGCTCATCAAATAAATCACTGCTAATGATTTCAGTAATGTCTTGGGATGGAGTAGGAGGGGGG